ACATATGTTTTGTATATAGGTTATTTTTCAATACATTAACTGGATTTGAGACAAGAACAATATTTCTGTAACCATATATTTATGCATTGTGAATTCCTAGTCCATGTAGTATTTGTTCAACGTAAATTGTGTCGGTTTTATCAGTCGAAGCATAAAGAGAAATTATGAGATAAATTTACTGAAGAGAACATCAAAATACAAAAGCCAAAAGTAAATGTTCAAGGGGAATCCAAGATAGAAGTATGATTGTAAGTAAGCAATGTTACGAAATGGAAAATAAAGCAAACAAAATTCCAAGAAAGAGTATCTGGCAAATATTTTCAGTTTTAAAGAACAGACAATAGTTCAACAGAGCTTTCAAATATAGCATGAGTTATTGGGGGTAAAACATTCATTGAGTGAAAATGTAAACAAGGAAAAAGCAGATAAATAAGAAGCAACTTCAGATTTAGTCGCACAAAAATATGAAATACACATTACATACATAAGTGCTCACAGTTTTTGCTATTGAAATAAGAGGATTAGTGACAATAAATTATGCAACAGCTTACAGAAATTTACTCTGGAAAATAAAGAGAAACCTGTTAGATGTCCCTGAATCCCAAATTCCACAAGGCCCCAAAATTGCTTAAATCAGCCTCCATACGTGCTCTATCAACTGATCAGTGACAAGAAAGGTAACATATATAAATATCACTTCAGCATTCTTTAAGCATGTTTAATGAACACTGCTCGTCACAGTCTTACATGTGAAGAAACTGTGCAACATTTGTGTAAATTGGACAAAAATTAATCTACAGGAGAAGAAATATTCGAGGAATATGATGATTTGGTTCAAGAGAAATTTAAAGTACCTGACAATGATTTTGAAGTTGATAAAAAGGAGATTTCAATTTTCTTAAAAAGATCACAAAACAAGCAAATGTAGCTGCAAAGAATAAACAAAAAAGAAAATTAAAAAACGGAATTTGAACACTTCTAATTGTCACTTTTAGTCAATGAAGCCAATTTAGTCAATAGCGCATGAATATGTAAAGTTAGTCAGAAAAGGGGAAGAGCAGTTTTACAACTCCTGTTCTTTCGACAGCCTTGTGTTTCTTACAACTCAAAAAAGTGTGATTTACGATATATATTATTTATATATAACATTGTTCTTGAATAAGTATTTTTTCTGAAATGATATGTGAATTTTGTTTATAGTTTGATTCTACATCTCCAGCTACACTGAAGTGTGAAGATTACACCAACAAGACTCCGGCAGGGCAAATCGCTGGACTACAGAAGTGAAGACAAGAAATATATCTACAAGCCACCATTCTTGCATTGCTACAACCATTATTTAAATCTGGTTTTGCAACAATTTGCATTATCTACTACAGTTAGCCATATTTTTTAAAACTATTATCTGGTGTGAGAGTGTGTGCACTTTATCTCCAATATCTCCAGAAAGAGCTCATGCTCTTAAGAGTTCATGCAGGAAAAGATACCTACAAAGTATTGTTAACTCAAATCATGAAATTAAAAAAGAAGTGGTAATGTTTTTTTAAGACATTATAGAGTATGATGACTAGATCCTTTATGTGTATCACATGCTTGCTGGTTCACAAATCTTTGGCTGAACGTGAAAACTATTTTCTCCAGTGGATGCTTTCAAAAGTATTCTCTCATTCAGATATTTGTGACTACTCAAAACCATAATACTGGTTACTGTGAACAGAAAACAGCAAAATTTTTACATGTTTACGTCAGAAAAGTGATTTTAAAGCGGTACAAGAAAATGTCAGTGTACAAAACCTAAACTCTCAGTGGAAAGAGTTTATATTGACAAATTTGAAATCAGGCAACATTACTCTGGGTTTATTACTAAAATTTCCAATTAAATATCTGAAAGATATTGCTCTCTTACTAAGCTTGAATTACTAAGCCCATTCATTATTACAGTTTTTCCTTTTTTTAATTACATGTTTAACAGCATGTCTTTTATGAAAAGATCGGATATGCCCCTATATAAATGATTCATATTAGTTAAGAATTATGTGAGGTCATGGCTGAAAATAGCGTTAAAGAAGAAGATATTGTGATCATCAAAAAATTCCTTCAATGTACTGTCAAACTGTATGTAATATATTAAAACAACTGTGGAAAATCAGTTATAAACTTTTAAAAGTAAGCTTGCTTTTAAGGAGATCTTGAATTTTTTTTTGTCTGCATCTGCATTTAATCTCTTTTCCATGCTTAAAAAAGCAGCAAGTAATCTCTTTTCCATGCTTAAAGAACGGTCTCAAAACAGAGCACACACAAATGATTTTTAAAAAATGGTGAATATTTAAAAAAAAATTGCCATGAATTGAAAAATTAAGCCAGATCATAACAATTAAAGAAAATTGTTTTTTTAACCCATCTGATGCTGGAGAGACTGAAATACTGTAATGATCAGTGTAAATACATACCAGGAATATGCAAAATACTTTTATAATTTTTTTAAATTGTTCTGAGATGAAACTGTCCATAAGTTGTCATCAGCTAAATTAGTTTAACATTAATCATTTTAAAAACCAGATAATATATATACATATTCTTTGTAATAAAAATTTAGTTTGATTTTAATAATTATCCTCAAATTTTAAACATAAGTGTAGATAACTCACACTGCCTGGAGGGTTATATGTGACACAGTTGATAATAACAAATTCAAGCTAATGTAATTTACCTGACAGACTGCTCAGATTTCATTAAAAGGAAATGTAGGTTTAACTAAAATAAACATGTTGACAAAATTTTATACATTTAACAACCGTACACTATATGATCTAAGCATAAGCCAGGTCTGTTCTGTATATTAGAGGTACAAAAATACAGTTTAATTAACTTCATTTTATCTAATAAAATGTAAAATTAATGCCAAAGGAAAACAGAACTTCTGCTTATGTTACATAAAATTACTTTGAAATGATTTTCTTTTTAATTCTTCTAATTTAAGGGTTAAAGTCAAATGGTTACTCACAAAAACAGAATTGATTTAACTAGGCTTTTTACTCAAGTCTTTTTACTACTAATAATTAGGAATTGCAGAGATAAAAACCTCTTAAATTGTATAAATCTCTTTCTATATATATATTATATCTTATATTACTTCAGTTCAGGATTTTATGCCAATTAAAAGTAAAATTTGTGTTAGTTTAAAGGCTCAGAATATGACTTTGATTTAAATCAAAGGTAATGCTTTCTTCTATTCTAAATGTAAAGCTTTTAAAGTTTCATTGCAATGATCACAAAGTTTAAAGCCCAATAAAGGAGTTAAAAAGCAAAAATAGATAGATTTTAAATTGCTTAGTTTTCAAGGCTTTATGTTTCAGATAATATTCATAAGGATACTGTAATTTTAAGAAACATAATACTTATCAATATGCCACATCATACATTCAACTGTGCAACTGTTAATTTTCAGATTCACATTACCTTCAAAATCACAAGCTTATAATGCCGCAGAACATACAGCTGTAATCATAATGGAGCAAAAAAAATTAATTCTATGAGTTTTCCTCTGTTTTTCTACATTATCTAACTAAGTTTGATAGCTCTTGTGTGCTACATGAATATGACACGTTAAACACAATAATATAGGTGTATATGCTACGCATGTCTGCATACTTTAAGAAATTGTGTAAATAACTGCTAATATTTATACCTAAACATTTTATGTGCATCCAAATATCAGAAAATTATGTAATTGTTAAGATTCTGAAAAGCAAGTCGGTGGCCTTTTTTTTAAAAAAAAAATTAAATAACTATGCATATAGTAATATTGAATACATAAAAGTAAATAAATTAAAATTTTACTTAATAATTAGTCTGATTCAGAAAATGCATTTTCATGGCAATTAGTCAAATGAATTGAAACTAAAATTGAAAAATACTACAGTCAAAAGTCTTTAACCCGGACTCGTTGGGACTTCGGCAATTCCAGATTTTCGGTTTTTCCTGATTATAGATCATCAGTTTAAATCTGGTAAGATGGCATGCAAAAATTATAAATTAAAAATATGAAACCATAATTTATGAAATAAAGAGCAATTATGATCTAAAGAGTATCAAAATTTACAAAAAAAAAAAGCTTAATATTTATTTCTTTACTTTATTAAACATTTCTTTCAACGCGCGCATGCGTAAAGCATACATTACGCATAGTCGAAATTAGAAAATTGCAACCAGACAACTATTTTATGTGTATTCGTGATATTTATAATGATGATGAATTTGATTTAAATCATATCAAAGACGGAGTACATCAAGATGAAATACATTTAGTAAGGAATTATAGGCTGAATAAAAGAAAAACATCTGCCCTGAAGATAAGGATAGTGCTGACAGATCAACTTCCAGTTCATTGTGCATCGCGACGTCCCCCCCCCCACGGAGCAGTGTGAAATTGATAAACAGATTTCGGAATGGTTAGAGAAACAAAGGATATGCCTTTATCCATTTTTTGCAGCAATTCCACTTTTAGTTTGATGGACATCGAAGCATGCTTTTGCTTTGTAGATCCTTCGTCAGCTCCAGAATCGGAAATTCTTTTTGATATAATCGAAAGCTCAAGCTTACTTTTATAAAATTGCTCTAACGGTCTACAAAAAATAATAAGCTGGATCCAATTAGAAGATTAAGGAACAACGCAATCTGCAACATTAACTGAAATAGATAATTAGATAATTTTAGCTTAGCTTATACCGTCCGTTATACATTAAACACATTATGCGTTTACGCATGCGCAGAAAGTTTGTAGCTTTGAGGTCCGGATTATAAATCATTCTGGATTAAAGACTTTTGACTGTATAACTGAAAAAATACAGAATATTTGCACAACCCACTTTCAATGCATACCCAACTACTTTAAAAATAAGAGACCACAGACAAAAACATTATAAAATATCAGGAATAAATTCTTATTATCACATATATTAGACAAAAATTGCAGAAATCATAAATTAAAGAAAATAAACTTTTCAGAAACATGTCAATTTATTATAAAATGATGGTGATTCAAAACTATACAGATGATATGGACAAACAAAAACTGAATAGCTACCAATGAAATATTTAAATTAATTGCACTACAGCAGTTCTTAACCTTGACTGCAACCCACCACACTCTTTTAATTCTCACATCACTAAGCAAAATTTATGAGGTAGGTCAGTTCTTCAAACCTACGATCTATTACATTTACACACTTCAAGGCATTTGAAACTTACACAACAAAAGCAGCACATTAAACTTGGGCTCAAGAAACTTTGATGTTTTAGTAAAGTGGTATCAATGATTTTTAATAGCATACATTACCAGTGCTGTTTCTTATCACTGATTTTATGGCAATTGTGGCAAACTCTTCTCATATACTCATGAAATCAGATGACATAAAAGTCACAAACAATCTACACTGAATGAGGATGCAGTGAAGAATGAGCACATCAGATAACCACAAAATTCCAAATTTCACTGGTGTCAACTGAGAGATCATATACTGTTGATTGAATAAAGATAAAAAAAAAATATTCCGACTGATAGAAAAATAGGTTTAGAAATTGTTGAAATGTTTTATCACTTTAGTTGTGCGATTGTCTTTCCTTTAATAATTTCTTAGTAAATATTACATCGTACTTTAATTAACCCTCTGAGAGGCACAACTTTGGATCTGCTTTTAAACTGTATTTAAGCAGCATTTCTTATCTAAATCTGCCTAATTCCTTCTTTTAGTCTAAATTTTCATAATTGTTCATTCATTCAGATAATATTTAGATCATTCAAATAAATATGAGAGCAACATATTTTTGACACTTTTTCATTCCTTTCATTTTTCACTTTTTCATTCCTTTCTTGTATGACACTTTTCATTCCAAGTAAAACAATGTATCTATTAACAGCAAGGCACTAAATACTTTCAAAATGAATTAAATTATTTCCAATAAAAAACATATTTTGCTCTGGTAAAAAAAATTTAGTGTCTTAACATAGGAATGGTACTTCATTTCTGTACAGTATTTTGGCACTATTTCCTTCTTAATGAGAACAGTTTACATTACAGCCTTTAATAAGACATTCGTAACACTCAATGAGGCATACATATATCTCTTCAATATATTTGGAATATTACTGAAGCAAACTAACATATGTTGAAAGCTATCTCATGCAAAGAAGTTTTAAATAACTGAATTCATGAAGTCAACTACATGAGAAAAACAAAAACTTTTAAGGCATTTTTTGCAGAAATGTACTTCAACTGTTTAAATTAGCATGTTCAATATAAAATGTTATAGAGATTCAAAATTTTACACACTGAAGTTTCTGAATAGCAGTAAGAAAATTTTAAACCTATGAAATTAATATGTAGTAGAGTAATAGTAATAAAACTTTTAGGCAAGCATATGGATGGAAGGTATCTGAACTGTTTCCCATGTTTTAGTTCAATACATCATTCATTGCAAAAAATTACTGCTATTTATTCCCTTAACCAACTGCAGAAAACACAACTGAGATTAACTCCAGGAACTACTACTTTGGACTGCAGTGTATATGAATATATTTCTTATTAACAGATATTTACATAGGATCACAGGGTAGTTGTAAAAAAGAGGAGACTAAAGGAATACATAATAATCAAATTGCATTCATACAGAACAAGTGAAAAGGCTAAATTAAACAGTGGTAGAATTATAACACATGCTAAAATGCAGATAGCTTGAGACTGTTGTCAGACAGGACACTTGATATTATTCAAATTATTATTTTTTTTTTTCCTCCTGATAAATAACATGGTACAGAAAGAACACTTATTCCAATAGAATTTACAAAATGTGAGGATTACTGAGACAAAACCAGTAAGCAACACTGCCATAGCATAACAGCACATTTCAAGTACTAAAATATGATGTTTTGACACATTTTACTGCAAATATAGACTGAGAACAGTTTCAACCCAATCTCCATATTTCAAGTAATAAAATATGATGCTTCATATTAAAAAAACAACACAGTTTTACTCTAAATATAGACTGGGAACGGTTTCAAACCATTCCCACAAACATTCATAAAGATCTCCATACATTTCCAGCAATATGATTTGCTTGAGATGAAGTTCTCAGATTTGTCAAATGATTATTTTGTACTATTACTGAGTACAAAAGAACTTTAATGGATGGGGAATAAACTGCAGAGCTGTCCACTTGTCCAGATATATAACTTTCCTTTCCATTAATGAAAGCCATAACTGTTGTTCAACTGTCATGGGTGCATGTATCCCAGGTTAAGAATCACTGTATTATAAGGAAGAAAAATATTATTTTCAAAAATACAGATTCACAGAAATCTGCAGACTAAATGCTTATATTAAAGCAGAAGCACAGCTTTTCTTTCCTTTTTTTAAAGCTTCACAGTATAAACTCAAAAACAAATCCATCAGTAAACTTTAAATATTAGGAATTATTGTCATGAACCATTTATAGATTTAAAAATAACTATACTATCTGAGATACTTATATTGCTCTAATTTGGATGGAATATTTGCAGCTTTTATAGAAAAAGAGAGATAAAATTTATATTTTACTTAAGTTTCTAAGTATTATTAATAGATCACAGTTACTATAATTGAGAAGGGAAATGTAGACTTTTGATGCATTTGTCAGTCACGCAAAATAAAATTTATGCTACACATATCAACGTACAACTAAATTAAAAAAATTAATAGCAATAATGACGACTTTGCAATAATAGCCATTAAATAAAAATCATGAACATTTTAACAAAAGTATTAAACAAATATTTTAGACTATCATATTTTTTTTTAAATTTCAAACATAAATGCACCACTTAACAAAATCTTGCATTAACAGATCATGTATACTTGAGCAGATTTTAAATATCTGAAATGACTCCCAACCATCTGTGAAAAATTCCAGCTTTTTAGAGTCACTTCATGATAATACAGAAGAAAATTATGGAATATATATATATATAATAATTTATTTCCTAAACAGTTATATACAGTAATATTTTATCTTGGGAATAATTTCATAAAATAAAATCATAAAATAATTTACATGGAAACAAATAAAATATACATCTTTTTATATATGCAAATGCATAAAAATATAAATTAAAATACATACAGGTTGCTTTAGACACTTTTTTTACATCTTAAAAAACATTCCTTAACAAAAGAAAATATATACAATGTAGCTACAATATGCATGTTTACAGTTCGTTACAGAGCAATCTGTTTAAAACAGTTTCATTTCAAAAATAAATTATACGAAAAACTGAAAAAGTTATGATCAAAAATCAAAATAACTCTTACTAAATATGGCAAAATTATAAAACATGGCAGAACGAACACTGATTGCTATTGGTAATGGACATAAATCTCCACATTTGCTTTAAATAAGCAGATGAAGTACAAGCATCATTTTATATAAAAAATAAATAAACTTTTTCCCTTCAAAAAGGCAAGTTTTGTCCCTTTTTATTGGTCAGTCCATTCCTGTAGTCAAGAGAGTTTGTATATACATATGATTATATATACATATATATAGATATATTATATTTATAAAACATCACATTATTCAGCTTTTCAGCCTGGTCTGAGGTAAGCATCACATATACACTTCAAAATCTAAAACAATGAACAAAAACCAATCAACATAACACAGAGAGCTTAGGTAGTGAAGAAAATGCTAGAAATAATGAAGAAATTTGTAATTTTCATGTATTCCAGATAAAATCCTACTCTCAGCTCTCTGCAACTGAACCAACTTTGGCATTTCATTTGATTTTATTTATATATCCTATTACCAGCAAAGTAATATAATGCACACTAAAGAGCCAAAAAATTAGAGTTGTCCATCAGTAGAGAGAATGTACACTCTCGAGACACAATTTCATCTGCATTTGCAAAAGGAAATTTTTTTCTTTTTTTTTTTTTTGGCAGGCAGGTTTATCAAACACATATACTATAATAGTAATATATGAGCACATAATTTATCAGTTACATGAATTATGTACAGTGCATATGGATGAATCACTATCTGCTGCAAATATTTAGATACTTTTGTACTACTGGATCAAGACACTGTAAAGAGTTCCACCAGAATAAAAATTACCGGTAAAACTGGCTAAAGCACAAATGCTAGTGATGACGTATATGTTCCACATATCCTCATTTACATATAAATTATAGGAGTCATGGCAATTTATTATATAATATTCAATAAGGTCAATATGAAGAATTATCAAAGAGTTGATATGCTATTAATGTTTCAGATGAGACAGATCTATCAATTTCTAGCATTAAGACCACTTTAAAAAATTGCTTGGCATTTGCTTGAGAACCTCCAAAATTAGTTCCTGGTCAAATGGAAAATTTGTCCATGGAAGAAAGCCAACAAGATGATGGAATTCAGCAGCCATGTAGGAAACTGTTATTTAGAACCATCTCCACTTTTCGTGTCAATATTTCATATACAAAGCAATGATTTCCTATAAGAAACGTCAACATGGGCAATGGATCTCCATACAAATTTACAATAGCCATCCACAACATGAATGACTGAACTTTTATGTTGGAAACCCTACATTATCGCCGGATCTTAACGATATATTTTTGAAAAGTTTTTTTTCAATGTTTAGAGCATATAACAGTGAATCACTGAGGGGCAGGTATACCTCCACAGCAATCCCAGCACTTTGAGTAGACACACCCTTTTTACATAGCTGAAGTTATGCATGCATTACAACAGCATTAAAGATACCTCTTATTACATCATTGCCTCTAATATTTTCGCTCTTAAGTGCAAATTTTATAGCATACAGTTTTTAGTAAAAAGGATGAATCCTTAAATTATTTATCACTATTGTCTTATATACAGGTATAATATATGAAGTTATAGTTCATACAAGTAACACTGAATTATTACAGTTAATACAAGTAATTCATACAAAGAGCGTATTACATGAGAGGTAAACCCTATGTTTAAAACCTCACTCTCCCACACAATATAATGTGAACTAAGAACAGCTGCTATTTTAAACTCGTTAAAAAAACTGAAGAAATGAAGGAACCTAATAAAAAGTTGCTTCAATAAATTTGAGAAACTTATATGCACGATCTTGAAGTAATGTGCCAGTACCTTTTGAATTTAAAGTTTATACAGTTTCAACTACTCACTTTTAAACAATATTTCTTGTTAAATTTATAAAATTTATAAAGAAAGTTTACAACACTATATAATAGTTTTATAATATTATATATATTATAATTTAGTTTATAACTAAATCGAGGTAATTATTTTTAGAAGATTAAAACAGTAAATGCAAATAAGAAAGCCTCTAAAAGTACCAAATGCAGATTAAAAGATTTAATTATTTCAGTTATAGGCCTTAAGGCAGATACAGCATACATGACACAACAAGTTATGTTATGTGGAACGATTCCTATCTAGTGATACCCCAACCTAGCCCAAAATTACTTGAAGTTTAAAATTAACATATAGGTAATTTATTATAGAAAAATATGTGGAGAGTGAAGAAACATTCAGAAGATATTTAATAATTGAAGACCGTCTCACCTGTTTTGATGAACCCTTAAGCCTCATTTAGAAAGACTTAAGAACCATTTTATAACAGGTAGTAATGAAATTAAAGTAACACATCTAAAAATTATATTCTCACAGCAGGTAACTTACTGACCATATCTATAATAACAGGTGACCTACCCTGCATTTGCCTCTAGTTATGAATATGAATTATGATATGGCCATGACTGGTTTCCTCTTTAGCCTTGTTTATATCAGAGTGACTCGAGGCATTTTCATTATCTTCAGATGAATTTTGATGATTCAGCTAGTGGTGCCAAAACTCAGATAATAAAATGTTCTGTCATGTTAAAAAAAAAAATATTATGGAATATAAAAGCAACAACAGACACAATGCTGCTTTACCACCTTGCTAAATTTAAGTGGCCATCTGCCAACATGGGAATTAGTTTTTGGTTATGCTGAGACACATCAGGCCAGTGTTTGTGTGAATGAAAAATAAGGATGACTATCAGTGTTGTTTTTAATCTGATTACTGTAAAGTGATGACTATTGATAAATGTGAAATAGGACTGCTGCAAATGACAGATGCGAATAGGATTGCTTCAACTACTTTTCTAACATTTTTAAAATATGACCTTGCATACTTTAATATAATAATGTGGTGATGTGATAAAAGTAATGGCATGGCGATGTGAAGTTAGCACATTTTATGTACTGCTGCTTTTTGTGTGATTTAGTACAGTAATGCTACCAGTTTCTTTGATTCTGATTGTGGTTTACATGGAGTACACCACTAGATGGGTGATAGGTCACCTGTTACTGTGATTTAGTACAGTAATGTTACCAGTTTCCTTGATTCTGATTGTGGTTTACATGCAGTACACCACCAGATGGGTGATAGGTCACCTGTTACGAGAATACCTAAAAAATATTTTAATTTTAATATTTCAAGATTATTGAACAGAAATTTTGAATTTGTAATACATTTTATACAGGAAAAACAAGGTTACAAACTGTTTTCTTTTTAAATAAATGTTAATTACTTTCTGCACATTTATTCTTCTAAAGGATTATGCTCAGTATATTCAAACATTTTATAAAATAAGACCCTGCAATAGGTTTGTGGTACGTTATCTTAAAAATATGCTGTAATAAAATGAACATAGAATACATAAAATACATAAAAATTAGCTACAATAGTTCTGCAGATACATTTATAATGCTTTCTGGCAAAAGCATTTAAAAAATACTTATGACATTCAAAAGGTAAACACAGAATGAAGGACAGAATCAGAGCATATTTTTTTTTTTTTTTAAAGGATAATCACTGCACTATTACTATAATGCAGTTCTAGTCATCACTTAAGTTTTACCTCAGTTACTGTTTGGATATTGTATAGCTTACTTCAAAATAACAACTGAAAAGCACTCCTGAATGAAGAATCTCCACAAATAATTATTATGCATCTGTGGAAAGAACCTATTCCAACTCTTCTATACATTTAAGACATTTTGACCTGTCTTACTCATTTAAAAATTATAAAGCTTCATCATAATAAAATAGCCTTCGAACTAAAATTCTTGACACTGATATACTCCAAATCAGTATTATACATACTCTGAAAATATGTCTTCATGCTGCATTTAAAATTCAACTAAATTTAACTTAAATTATTACTGCATATAAATAAATACTTTAAGTAGCATCTTTATACAAGTTTCTTCCATTTAAAATAATGCTACATCTTCATTTGCAATCAGTTTTCAGAACTGTAATTTACAAATTTACAAAAATTAATTTAATTATAAATGCTTACTTAGCTTTGGCATGCGTAAGAATGTGAGATTTGAGGTTAGTTGATTGGGCAAACTTTTTATTACAGCCATCAAAAGGACAAACATAAGGGCGGTCACCTGTATGGATTCGAACATGGGTACGAAGATTAAAATCCAAGGAGAAACGTTTACCACAACCTTCGAATGTACACTATAAAATAACGAAAATTTTATAATTAAAAAACACATGCAACATTTTTTATAAAATTTTATTTTTAATCTAATCTTTGAAAGAAAAGAGGGGTTAAAATTAACTTCATTCTATAAATAAATTACAAAATTTAAGAATTTTCTTGCACAAAAACTTGGAGTTGTAAACAATGCACATATAATGTATGGTATAATCAAAATAAATATTAGAAGAAATTTTATTTGCTGATACACATGCATATATAAACATAGGTAATGATATGTTAACGTTAAGTTAAATACAAATGAAACAACAACAACAATAAATAAATAATAAATCAGTCGCTACTCTTACAACTTTTCATCCTTTCAGTATGGACCCCCAAAGAAAATGGTGACTTGTATATAATAAAACAGAATGCCTCAAGCTAGATCCTAAGACACAGAATAGGCTAGTTCATGATTATTTTCATAGTTTTTCTAGTGCAAGTTCCTTTCAAAATGTCATCAAATGTGATTTATTCTGCCCAAGAACAATCCAGTAGACTGGTATAACTAACAGTCCATTTAACCCAGAAACATGGGCACAGGGTTCATTCCTGGACATGGAATGGAAACAATGTTCCAAACACACGTTTGCAAGTTTCACAGGATCCTTCTCATGCTCCCTTTTTTTGCTATGTAAGAGGTAATTATATTCAACTTATTATTGCTATGTACGTAATTCATTATTGCTATGTAAGAGGCAATTATATTCGAAATCCATTTTCTCATTTCACTGTGGATGATATATGTCCTATGCATACTTACTACAGAGTTAAATAAAAACCATTTCTTTCTAGACTTTAACATTAAATTTTAACATTTAATTATTTTAATATTTAATGCTCCCTCTCTCCAATAATAATAATACAGTACAAAGTCCGAAATACGGATGTCCATTATGCGGAATGATCTAAAATCCAGACCTCAAAGCCACAAACTTTTTATTATTTTTTTATTAATGCTTTATGCATGCACATTTGATTTTTTCTTCCATAATAAAACATATAGAGATTTTCATTTAAAAATTCAGATTCTTCATTTCACTTAGGCACTAAATAAAATACTCGTTATGGAAAAACAATCACGTAAGCATAAATTTACGAGATTAATAATTTGGCTCTGTAGCTGAGTATCTACTTAACATACATCTCAAACCGAAACAGTCACCTATTTTACATCCCGACGCCGACCTGGCGAGTCATTATTTATTACATTTTGCTTTCATCGCCGCATGTTTATCAATACACGACAGCTTCAGTAATAACTCATGCTGTGATGTCTAAGCTTCTTATATTAGTATTGAATAACAAGAGTATGGCAACCTTTTATGCTAACATTACACTTGGCGATGATTATGGATTTTTAAATGCTCTAAGAAATGTTGACGAGGAAAAATTCAACAAAATTTCTTTTCATATGCTAAAAATAGAATTCAACAAAAATTTCTTTTCATATGCTAAAAATAGATTTTGTTAATGAAACTCATAGGCCAAAAGATTACATTTAGTGCTATTTTAATTAAGAATAACTGATATGTTATTCACCATAAATCCAGAAGCAGCGGCAGAATATATCGGCACCGGATGGCAGAATTTAGGGAAGACGAAATTTTTGGAATTTGGAGAAGCACCGAGCGGCAAAATTAAGGGACGAGAAGTTTTTATGACTTAGGGAAAGCACTGGGATCCAAAGTTTAGGTACGGTGAAAATTCAGAACTTAGGAAAACGCTTTGTAGCAGAATTTAGGACCCCACAGAGACTGCACCAGGCGGTATCGAGCGCTGGCCCTAGATAATGCCTTAAATATATGTGGGAGTTTGTTTATTGAGAACTAGGATTAGTTTGAAGCATGTGCAAGAAATAAATGTAGGTATAGTAAATAACTAAACTAATACAATTCAGGCTTAATTCAGTACACAATAGGAGCAAGACAAAATTTAGCGAAACAACTTGGCTTTCGTCGCCAATCTTGTGATACACAGCCAATAATGTACAACAGGCGCTATTAAGCTAGGCTAAAATTATCTTTACTGATTTTAAGGCATTTTAATTAATGTACCAGACTGCGCTGCTCCCTGATTTTCTAATTTGATTTAGCTTATTATTTTTTGCAGACTGTTATTATTACAGCAATTTTATAAAAACTAAGTTTGAACTTTCAATTATGTCGAAAAGAGTTTCCAATCTTGGAGTTGTTAAAGGATCTACAAAGCGAAACCATGTTTCGATGTCCATTAAACAAGAAGTGGAATAGCTGCAAAAAAATGGATAAAGGCATGGAGTTATGGCATTGGAAAGCTGTATGACACAAGAAAAAAAGAAAAAGGAACTTTTTGAATTTTTTGTGGAAGCATCTTAAACAACTTACATTGAAAGAAATGTTTAATAAAATAAATAAATAAATATTAAGCCTTTTTTTCGTAAATTTTGATACCCTTTAGATCATAATTGTTCTTTATTTCATAAATTACGATTTCATATTTTTAATTGTGTATTTTCTGCATACCATCTTACCATATTTAAATTGATGATCTATTATCCGGAAACGCCGAAGTCCCAAAAAGTCCGGATTTCAGACTTTGTACTGTAAGTGAATATTTAAATGGGAATTATAGGCAAATGTAGGTGTAAGTTATGTTGTAGTGCAAAACTGTGAAGACTTCAATCAAATAAACATTTCTTGACATCTATCATTTGTTTTGACACATCTATGAAGTTTTAGGTTAACCTAATTATCCTGAATTTTAACTATTTTTCTAATTTCATCCACTGATTGAAATCAATTCAATATCAATTCATTGTAAAAGTAAGACAAAAAAGTCTTAGAGCAAAGATCGAGTTACGACTGCTTAATTCATGATGCATCAAAAAAAAAAAGTTGCAGAAAGGTGCAATTATAATAGCTGCAAAACAGTTTAAGTGTAACAGAATGAGTATATCAATAATTTGGAAATGTTCTTCCGAAAATTGAAGTTGAATTTTATGTTAATGCTGATTCTTTGATAAAACAATATTGGACGCAAATGCAATTATGGAGAAAAACTTGAAAAAGTTAGACATATTCCTCTCAGCAGATGAGACACCATAGAAGCAGTAAACATAGCCCTTGCTAATATTTCTGCTGAAATAACTGGATTTCAATAACTTAACTACATTTCTCTAACTTCAATAAGTTATGTCAGAAGCAATGAAGAACGATGGCTCCAATAATTTTAAGCTCATGCAATACAGAGAAAGCAAAGCTTCACAATCAAAGGATCCAACCTACAAGTTTAAAATGCAGTAACAAAATTATTCAAAACTACAGAAACTATCTGAACACTCAAAATAAAAATCAGGAGTTAATACTTTTAACTTACTGTTTAATCTAGTTTTCTTTTTTTATATATCTAATGAATGATGCATTTCATATTTTCTTTTGCTACTATTATTATGGAACAAATTAAATTCATCAATTGCTACTATTATTACTGGACACAGGGAGTAAAATTTTAATATGTGCTAAAATTTAAAGTACAACAGCATTTATGCAAATGAAAGTTATTTTCAGGGAACAATAAATACATTCAAATTACTTTCAGAAAATAAATATAGTAGGGTTTTATTTATCTAAAACAAACCTAAATTGCTTTTTTCTTTTTAGGTCAAGAAAAATTTATCTTCCTTGATTTAAGCAATGTAAAAAGGTAATACAGTATAGAACACAAATTTTTGCATTGGTAAATTTATTTAAATGAACAAGCATGACATAAAGACTGGCTTGCAATATTTGGTGAGCCTGCAATCTATACACACTGATGGAAAGGCAACTAACTCAGGGTTACCACTCAAAGAGGAGAATGAAATTCTCTGACTTTTCCAGGTTTTCCAGGTTTGTGCTGAGAGGTAAATTAATTATGGTACCACTTGAAAACACAACAATTTGCCAAATTACATATAACTTACACAAACACACACACATATAATCCCCAAATCACTACTATTATAACTATAATATACTATAATAGAAGTTGTTTTCTCCACTGAAGATTGAGATTAAAATCTGCCCAATCTGGATTAAAAATGTCCTTTTTTTGCAGACATTTTGTAACTAGACAAAAGAAAGAAATCTATTTAATGATACTTTTAAATAAGTTCAAGTATTTTATAGTTATTTAGCAGCATACATAAGCAAAAAATATGTGCATTAAATTTCATGATAGTATGTTATCATACTGCTAGAAGTAGTGTCATGATTATGCCAGAGAAAATTGCCTGAAATTTGAAAGTATTATTAACTAATAATAAATAATAGAGGGAAGAAGCCATATTAAATGATAAGAATAGCATTAAGATAAATCACTTCAAAACTGAATTACAATAATCAATGATATTTTAGTGAATATAGTTATATTAAATGGTTAGCCTATAGATGACTATTAACTATTTTTTTATTTTACAGCAAAATGACAAATAAGGCATTTATTAAAAATTTTAAAAAAAGGTTGAGAAGATTTTAAGGAATCCTAGTATATGCTAGCTTTGGTGAGAAGATTTTAAGGAATCCTAGTATACGCTAGCCTTGGCATGATTTTGAAAATCGTTGCCAACATCTAAATGACCTGTTTACTGCTTATTATAATGTCGCCAAATCCCGTGCGATCTGTATACTAGGATTTAACTCTCTGAGCGTTATGAGCACCGGCTTTATCTGGTCATCAGAAATTTTGCTACTTGACATATATTGGCTTATAATTTAAGAGATTTTGCTTTTACACTTTCTTTAATAATAATATAAATATCGTCTTAATGAATGCAAGTTTATGAAAATACAGACCAAAATAAGTAATTAAACACCAGCTGCCTGAATGATGCTCACGCAATACATAATTCGCCAAGAAAGTGATCGTTTTCAACATTGGCACAAAACTCACTTTTTTGGAGATCGCAGTATGAAATTCCCTGACTTTTCCAGATTTTTACTAAATTATTTAAATTCCTTGAATTTTTGGTCTATTTTTGAATTTCACAAATGTTTTGGTTTTCCAGGTAGCGTGGCAACCCTGCTTACTGTACAGCGTGTCTAGGCATCTAGTTCTGTTTTGTTCATGGGTCATCACTTAAAAAGTGTTCTTTTCCTGAGCAAAGCATCTAATGACAATTCCCTCGCAATCTTAAGTTTTGTTACTTGTAGTATACAGCATAACTGTAGTTATCAGTTTTCTACTAGGGCTGCTGCATGCAGCATTTTTCTTCATGTATGATTTAAAAGTGATTTTTTTTTAATTAAATTAAGGGCAATTACTTCACTTTACAATAAATATACATTTTAGATTACAGAAAAAAAGAAAACACAATTACCTGGATTTTCTGAGCACTAGGAAAAAGCATTTTATTCAGCTGCAATTTTATCATGACCATTTTTTTACAAGCTTCCTCAAAGGTCAAACAACTCGTTCTTTGTAAATATTCTGCCCCCCCAAAAAAGGGAGGAAATATAATTAGCATGTGATTACATATGATGTTTGACTGTAGATTATATTGTTTTTAATAGTGTCTCTGACAACATTTTTTCTAAACTGCATCATTTAAAAAGTACACATATTTTCCCACAAAAATAATTGCAGAAATAGATCTTGATAGCTTTCAAATTGATAGCTTTTCCCTCATTTAATCAAACAGGCTGTAACATAATTGTTGTATGGAAAGACCATACACACTTTAAACATTACTCAATTTAATTAAAAGTCTTATCAAGACATTCTTTCCCTAAAAGGTTCTAGGAGTCTGATGGAAATGAGGTGTGATGACCACAATAGCCAGATCATTTCCCGAATACCTTGATTAATTCAATATGTATAGCAAGCTCAGGCATTAGTAACCATTAAAAAACGACATGAATTGCAAACTGCATCAGCATGCATAAACAGGATTCAGTATTTTTAACACTCATAAAGTCACACATAGAGACTAGTAACTGATATGACATATTCACTCCAAAATGTTACTAAAATTCACTCACCACTAAATAAATAACTAATAAACACTAATAAAGTTACTGTAAACTTCACTTTAAGTAATAAACTTCACTAATAAAGTTCATTGTGTTACTAAAATATACACCAACGTATGCTGCTTTGGCACCAGCTTAACGTTTTCACAAACTTGCCAAGACTGCTATACTTTGCCTTCACAGAAACCAAACTTGTGTACTCACTTTCAAATTAAGAACTTCAAATTGCTTCCAATTTTAATATATATAATATATCATATAATATTCTGCTTCAAAATTCTATTACTTCATTAATAATTTCTTCTGATGCATATTCTCCTTTTTACATCACTATGGGTGCAACAAGCAGTCTATAATTATATGTACACTTAACAATTTTTTAAACAATTAAAGACAGAATGAAATGATGAGACACAAGCTAGCTAGGCAAGAGCAACTAGAAAAAAATGAATGCATATTTCAGCAAAGCCTATACCAGGTTATTCATAATTCCCTCCAGAGTTTCAGAAGGCTTTAGTTGAAAAAAAAAAAAAAAAAAAAAAAACCTAAGAAGAAGAATAGAGCAAAAAAGAACATTGCACTAAATACATAAACAATAAAAATTTTATTTACAGCCCTTACAGGTGTTCTATGTGTGAACCCTTGTTCACATCACATACACCAATGCAATGTTACCAATTCCTGCTAGACTTTATTCAACATAATACTATTAATGGTATTGATAGCATGTGACCCTTTCACACAATTTTGCTAAATCATGCCATGAAGGGATTATGAAAACAAACAAGGTCTTTTACATAGCCACACGGTGAGTGTAAGCTTATGGCAAAAGAGTTATGTCATCTTCAGCAGGTCAGCCAATCCTACAATGAGTTAATTCTGTGTACTCATGCACATCTTGCAGAAAATGAGGTGGAGCTCCATCTTGCTGAAAAATGAAGTAGTCATGCTCATGTAATGTTCATGTAAATGTGGCATTATAGCATATCCATGTCCACCACACTGGTAAACATCTGCTCCGGTTTAAAAAAACACTCATAGATAAACGAGGAAATAACACAGAACACATTAAAGGAATCATGGCGGTGTTCCACTACTGCATGAAGATTTTCGGTGCCCCAAATGGTAAACCATGTCAGTTTACCTTGCCAGAAATATGAAAGGTGAATTCATCACTAAAAGGCCTTTTCTGCAGCACTGAATCATCAGCCTGACATCGAATGCAAAAGTTCATACGAGAAATGCAATCCCCCGATGTCAGCGCTTGCATCATTTGCGATTGATATGGCTTCAAATGCAGTTTTGCATACTTGCCACACTGTTGGTTTCCCAATTCATGGGTTGCACGAACAATCGACTTCACTGTGCTCTTCAAAAACATTTTCCGTACACCATTTAACAGTTTCTGCAGAATGGACCTGGTCAACCACTTTGTTGCTTATCATACAAGCATCTAGCTTCTTAATACTTGTTACCACACATGAATTGTCTTGTCAGCGGGTCTCTGTTCGACCATTTCACACAAAATGCCTGCTGCACCAGCACCACTGATTCTGATTTAGCAAATTCAAACAAGCAAAAGAATTTTTGTTTGCCCATAGACACCATTTTGATTCACTTCCTCCTTGTGCTGTCACCTACTGCATCTACTTTAGTGCAAGGTTCATTTTTGATATATTCATCTAAGTTTTTTTACTACAGCATTTTGAAACCACAGACGGAACTATGAACAACACAGTCCATAAGACTGGAATCCTTTGTTTAAATTTTGAACAGTGAATGGCCAAGAGCTACATAATGCAGAGGACATAATGCAGATAACTTTTAAATGGCACAGTTTAGAAAAAGTTATTACTGTTTTTAGAATAAACAGAGTTAGTACCCAAATTAAAATGAGTAACTTCGAGTCTCGTATTCTTTTTTCTTACATATACAGCCCAGATATTTTCTTGAGGGGGGAAAAATAAGTGCAAAGAAATAAATCCTGTCACATTCCAGGCATTTAAAGATCTATAAAGTTAACACCACTACACAGCAACTCATAAGCATTTTTGCCCAAACCAGATTACTGTCACATCACAGTAAGTATTTCTGCAGAATGCTCAATCAGTTGCCTCTTGTTTCTTGCTTTGTTAAGTTCACATAATGTGCATCAAAATGTAAAAGCAGTTTCAGTAATAGATTGCACTGATCTTTGCTTCAAGTTCTATGCAATGTTTAGTCTAGAACAGGTTAATTAAGCTCAATGAACTCATAATTTTGATATATGTTAAACCAAAGAGACATCAAAATTCTTTTTTCTTGTAATAATATTTTTTTAATTAATGAACACTTAGCTAAAATGACACCCAGTAAATTTCAATTAAAAATTTACTATAAGAAATTTAATAGACTAAAGAACATGAATTACAAATTGGCTATTATACAAAGCAAAATAAGCTCGCTTACTGAAATACTTTCCAGACAGCATCTGAGGCAAAGTCACATAATTAAACTCTTCTGTATGACTATAAACAAAAAATAATAAAAAAGAAATACCTGAAATGGTTTTTCGCCAGTATGGACTAACTGATGCCTTTTTAACTTTGAGCTCTCTACGAAGGCCTTACCACATTCAGCACACACATGAACTCGTGGACCATGTGTATGAAGGTGTTTACGCATGGCAGAATTATCTCGAAACATCTTTGTACAACCCTGAAATGCATAACTAACTGTATACATAAATTGCTGTCAAAGAACAAAAAGCATTAAAACACTTAATTTTACTTAATTAATTATAATTTATAGCAACTTATCACATTTTTAAACCAAAAACAATAAAACTTTTACATTTTTTGGTCAATATGCTTACTGTACATTAGGAATAAATATTAATAATATTCTGAGGAAGCTATCAAACCACATTTTTGCCCAAGTCTTTCATGTACATAATACTCAAGAGTAATTTATAATTTTTTGTCCATGAAAATGTACTTTTCATAATGGATTGTTTAACAATACTCTTCAATATACTAAAGGTATATTGGTAGTAAGTATGCAGGCAGGCATTGTGCAGTAAGGACAGTGATGGTTTAATAATACAAATGGCAATGACAAAAGCTGCCACACACAGGAAAAACCTATCCAATTCATAAATAAAATTATTATTATTTTGTAATTTTTTAAATTTTAGTAAAATGCTACTTAATTAAGTATTAAATAAATACTGTATTTTAATATTTTGCCAAAGTGAGAAAATGAAAAGTGGCTGGGAGAAGAAAGATATTTAAAAACTATTTGAAGGTGAAATAATGCAACATTTGCAGATATTATATTAAAAATCTTAAAGTTGCACATTTTGCTTTGGGTGTTTATAATTTCATGAAAGGATGATTAACCTGCAAATTTTCAATTGCTAGGCAGGCAAACCTTTTGTTCTATTTTAACTCCATATGAAAACAGGAAAGACACATTGAAGACTACCATAGAAAAAGAACCAGAAATTCAAAATTGAGAAATAAACAATACCATAGATGAAGAGAATTTGCTGGTCATTAGAAAAGAGGTAAAAATATGATTGAAAGTATTAGAACAATTTTTGTTATAGTTCAGATAGACGCTATTCAAAATTGATCACTTCCAGGAGCAAATGAAACAATATCTTCAAGTAGAAAAAAAAAAATAAATAAATAAATAAACTTGATGAACTGCAAGCAAAATTTCATCTAACAATGAATTAATTTATTAAATAATATTATAAGCTAGGTTGTAAGAACAATACTAAAAAGACCAATTTTGGTCAAAATCTTTTGTGCAATATGCTGCAAAATTAAGGAAATGAGAAGAGAAATTGTAGTTAGCTCGCCAAAAAGTTACCAGGAGCTGTGGCTTCAAGACAAAGTTCAACACAGTTTTTTTAAAAAAACAATGACATTGAAGGGTGAAATATTAGGCTACATGCGAAATAAAATGTAAATTATAAAACACAGTAAAATACTAATCGTTGGAAACAAGTTAAAGGCAAAAAATAAAACATAGTAAAAAACAAATCGATGGAACAAGTTAAAACATATAAAAATCAATCGATGGTACAAGTTAAAACAAGTAAAAAGTTAAAACATATAAAAATTAAAAAGCGAAAATGGTAAATTAGCTCAATTCGAGGTCCACCCTGGCTTTTCAAGGGAAATTTCTGGTTGAACGTCGAACCAAGCTAACTCCATTATGCGATTCGCAAAAACAGACAAATGAAACTTTGCGTTACAAAATTTTTTAATTAATTAGATAAATTGTCCTAAAAAAAATTTTTTTTTTTAATCTCAATTCTCTGTTCCAATTTCCCGACGCGTCCGCACAAAATTACACATTAAGGTGTAAAAAATGTAAATGCAACTCCGATGTACAGCAATAATAAAAATTAAAAAAATAATAAATAAAGGTCTGCTATTCATCAAAATGTTCAATAACGTACAGGCTGGACCTGCAAGCTTAAAGAATTAAAACTTTATAAATGAATCTGAAATTAAATTTAAATGAAAACTAACAGTGTGGGTCTTGCTAAAACCAAGAAAAAAATTTTGTAAAAGAAACATTAAAAAAAAAAAAAAAAAAAAAAAAAAAAAAAAAAACAGAAAAGGGTTGTAATTCCCCTCCGTGCTTTTCAACGCTCTTCAACTTGTCGTGTGACATAAGAAGGGGGAAACAAAGTCACTGGGCAACAGCCAATGTCAAAAGACTGTCATTGGCAGGAAACCGTCCAAAAGCTAAAGGGGGTCGAAAGACGTGGAAAAATTTCAAAATGGCGTCAGTCAAGTTGTTTTAAGAACTGCTTCAAAAATTGAAAATGGCTAATTCAGCTAAAATTACTTAACATGGCCACAAAAGTAAGAGAAAAATGGAAAAAACAGTCATTTGTTAATAAAAGTCGTAATTCTTCAAGCTAGAGGGCGATCAAACTTCAGGAAACGAAAAGGCCCGTTTGTTAATAAAAGGAGTAGAATTGGCCATCAAAGTAATTTAAAACTATTTAAACAATAGTATTAAAAGTATTGTGCCAAAAATTTTTGGAGGAAAGAAAACATAGTGACAAGAATTAGCTGTACATTTTTACATTAGATTCTCAGAATCAGCCATCCACTTTATACTGTCCTATTGGACTTTTAAGTATAAAATATCACTATCAAGTAGAAAGTAGTAAATCATAAAAACATGAGACCTAGTTGATCAAAAACTGTGCATTGAGTTGCAAATTTTAAAAGATTTATGAGAAAAGGAGAGGTTAAAAATTAGCTAGAGCCATAAAAAACATTTGAACTTCCTAATTCCTGATGTTACATGCAAAACAACATCCCATCATTTAACCCTCTAAGCAGCAAGGCCGTATATATACGGCTTAGAATATTTTTTGTGATATCTGTAAGAACGTATATATGTGCATATTAAAATATGTCAAAGAAGTCAAGGCAATATATCAAAAGCACACAAATCCAGGTATGTATTTTCATGAGTTTTTACATTAAAATCAAAAAAATAATTTGTTCTCCTAGTAGTTTTGTGAAATTTTCGGTTTCTTAGCAAAAACCCTGGCCGCTCAGAGTGTTAAATCAAGGTTTCTTAAACTGTGGGTCACCAAAAATTTTCGCAGTTTTGATATTTCTTTAACTTATTATAATAATTTTACAATTACCAAATATTTTTTCACAATGTATCTATCTGAAAATAGATAAAGATAAGACAACACAAAGGAAAAAAATGAAAACATTTTGACGCATTTTTATTATAATATAAACATTCATTTTTCTTGCTTTGCACATGATGCTGTCATTTCGTCTGTTACTTATTTAAAATTTTCACATTGTTCTATGTCTTAAAGCTAATGACTTAAAACTGCAATAGTATATTTACAGTACAAGCGAAAACATTGAGTTTCACTCACATGTGTGTCGGATTTGCGTAATATTTATGGGCTCCCAAAAACATTTTTTTAAATATTATGAGGTCCTCGGGGGGTCGTGAAAAATCTCAGTGATGAAAAGGGGTTGTGACTGAAAAAAGTTTAAGAAACCCAGATCTAAATTAAAGTGAAATCAATATATGTCCGTGATAAAAACTTAGCCATTATACATACAATAGAAAACTTGTACAACAAAAGCAAAAATTGTACATGAAAAAAACCTATCCAATTTACATAAAACAGAAATATTGTACATATAAAAACACTCACATATAAAACCTCTCCTTTTCTTATAAATAAATATATATACACAATGTTCATCAAGAGGTTCATAGAAAATGCCCATTCAGTTTTATTTGAAACGTAAAAAAATGGTCATTTTTTCATGTAATACCTATTAAAATACATACGATAGCTCCAGTGCACTCGATATTCCTAACAGCACTGGAAGAATACCTCTTCAGTTCTCTGTTATAGACTGAGTACATTAAACTATTCGAAATACTGACCCCATAGAGGCAAACTGTAGGAAGAGCAATGGGGCCAAAGGGCTGAAATACAGCACATATGATGGTTGGTTGGTTGATTTTTAATGGCACATAACCTCGAGGGTTATTATGCACCAGACAAATGGTGAATAAAATTCAAGATGCACAAGCACACTGTATCAAATGAATTGATAAATTGAAAAAGGCAAGAAAGGCAAGAACATTTGCCAGTGTTGGATACTAGTGAAAGATACGCCAAGCTCTTTTGCTCTCTTGAAGTCTCATGACAATCATTGTTCCACCAGGGTTTCGGGAGCTTTGGGAACTTTGTTGAGGACTTCGGAATTCAGAGATCAGCTGCTTGTATAATGGCATCATAGATCATTTTTAACGCTACATTAATCTCCACATCGTTTACAATTTCTTCAGTCAGCACAGCACAAGATGCAAAAAAATCCCAATCAGCTTTATCATAAGTGTGGTTGTCTTGAGATTACCAACTTTCCTGTAATATTTACAGTCACTGGGAAATGGTCACTATTGTAGAGATTCTCCCCTACACTGAAAGAGTAAAAAGGGAAGTAAAGATGGAGAACAAAAGGCCAGATCATGAAGATCAAGAACTAGGCATGAAATGTTCTAGTTGGCTGATGAAAGTAGGTGTATTCTCCATTATTAAGGAGACAAATAGGATGATCTTCCTTCGATCTGTCATCCCCTTGAAATAGTGTTCCTACTTCCCCATAAGGTATTATGTGCATTGAAGTCACCTAAAAGCAGAAAAGGTTCTGGGAGTTGCTCTATTATTCTGTCCATCTCTTGCTGATCTGCATGCTCATGTGGGGGTAAATATTGTGCATACTGAGATTGAGAAGCATAAATTAATCTGAACCGCCGCCGCTTGAAGGAGGTCATCAAAGAGAGAGCAGTGTATGGGTGATTGTGGGAGGCGATATGGCCCACACCACTACAGGCACGATCCCTAGACAGGTTGTCCTTTCTTACCATTGTATATCTCTATATCTTAGCATGTCTGCCTGGTTTTAACAAGGTCTCCTGAAGTGAAAAGCAGGCAGGTTGATAGATGTTGATTAAATCCTTGATTATTATTATCCAGGTTTTGACAGAAAACCCGGCAGTTCCGCGAAATTAAGGTACCCATTATGGATGCTTGTTTCGGCGGTGTTGATTTTTTGACTTTTGAGGGAAAAGGTGTTTCGGAAGGGAAAACCCTTGTTCAACCTCCATTTCATCCAACGTCCTGAACTCATGATTGCGATAGAACTTTGGCTGGGTTTTTGATTATTTTTCTGTTTGATAACATCTTTATGTTTGTTCTGTTGGACATCCTATTTTCCTTTGGACGCAGTCATTGGCATACTACTTTCAACATCAGACTTTTCCCCTGATTTTTGGTTTCTAGGATCTGTCATTGCTAGCTCCTTTTGCTGTGTGCTTATTGTGGTTTGCGTTGATATTGATCTGAATGATTTTGTTGCGGATGCATAAGATTTATTAGGTCTTGGCTGATTAGAGAAAACAAGTCCTTTGGCTTCTGCAAATGATATCTTTTGTGTAACTTTAATGCTTTGAATTTTTTTTCCTGTCTGCCATTTCAGACATGACCTTGTAAAAGCTGGTTGCTCGCCTTTACAATTTATACATAAGGGGGCAGCAGAGCAGCCTTCAATGTCATGGCTTACGATGAAACATCGAGTGCATGTGAGACTACCACAACAAGAGGTCTTTCCAAAGTGCTGACATTGAAAGCAACACATTGGATTCGGTATATATGGCCCGATTGAACAGTTTAGGTATCCAGCTTTGATGTTTTTATGCAGGTTAGGAGACTTGAAAGTAAGTATGACATGTTTAGTGGGAATGAGTTGACCTTCTTTCCATATTTTGATCCTACGAACACTACACACGTTTTGATCTCCTAACTCTTTAACAAATTCCTCTTCAGTTACTGACAGTAATTCTATTTCAGAGATTACTCCTCGAGATGAATTTAAATGTTATGTGGTATTATTGCAATGTTTGCTTGTCCTAATTTGGTTAGTTTCAAAAGACTATTATTACACTGCTTTCCAGACACAGTTTTTATCAAAAGATCTCCACACAGAAATCTCTTAATACTATACAGAAGACAAAAGATGTTTGTGTATTAGAAAGGGTGACATTTTTTTTCCAATTCTTCAGAGCTGGTTATAATTAAGAAACATGGACAAAATGCATCTGATACGGTGCTTTCTATGTCACTTCTTATGTTGGAGAAGGAAGGTATCATAACATTCATATTTAAATGGAGAAAGATTTGGATCCAACCGCCCCATCTACCATGGAGCCCAACAAGGGGACACAGACTCCGACACCAGGGCTAGCCGGACCCATACCCAAACTGAAGTTCCACAGTCAGCTCTCCCGAAAGCAGGTAATCCTGAGAGCTTGTCCCCAAACTACTGGCACAAGGACTAGTGACCAGCCAATTGACACCTATGAGGACAACAAGGTGCCTCCCCTCTAACTGAAGCAGAGGCCAAAGCAGTATGTTGGGGACAGTACCTCGCCCCTCAACTACCAGGACCCTTCTTTCCAGTGACATGGGTCTCCATTCATGGCAAACACATGGGCAGTTTTTCTCGCCACTCAAAGAACTAGAGACAAGGCTGTTCCAGTTTCTTATGAAGAGCCTGAACCTCAGTACCTCGCCCCTCAACTACCAGGACTCTTCTTTCCAGTGACATGGGTCTCCATTCATGGCAAACACATGGGCAGTTTTTCTCGCCACTCAAAGAACTAGACAAGGCTATTCCAGTTTCTTATGAAGAGCCTGAACTTCAGTACCTCGCCCCTCAACTACCAGGACCCTTCTTTCCAGTGACATGGGTCTCCATTCATGGCAAACACATGGGCAGTTTTTCTCGCCACTTAAAGAACTAGAGACAAGGCTGTTCCAGTTTCTTATGAAGAGCCTGAACCTCAGTACCTCGCCCCTCAACTACCAGGACCCTTCTTTCCAGTGACATGGGTCTCCATTCATGGCAAACACATGGGCAGTTTTTCTCGCCACTCAAAGAACTAGAGACAAGGCTGTTCCAGTTTCTTATGAAGAGCCTGAACCTCAGTACCTCGCCCCTCAACTACCAGGACCCTTCTTTCCAGTGACATGGGTCTCCATTCATGGCAAACACATGGGCAGTTTTTCTCGCCACTCAAAGAACTGGAGACAAGGCTGTTCCAGTTTCTTATGAAGAGCCTGAACTTCAGTACCTCGCCCCTCAACTACCAGGACCCTTCTTTCTAGTGACATGGGTCTCCATTCATGGCAAACACATGGGCAGTTTTTCTTGCCACTCAAAGAACTAGAGACAAGGCTGTTCCAGTTTCTTATGACGAGCCTGAACCTTAGCAAGAAAAGTTGCAGTTAAGAGGAGAGAAGGCAGAAAGGAGGAGAGATCACTGGGGCTCCAGGATTGTGACACCCGATCACCAAGATGGTGATCCCCTGAAGGATCTTCACCTGCTATGCTTTAGCTGGGCATGTTGGAACGGCCTTCACACCTAGGGTGGCCCTACCAGGAGCTATGCTTCTGACGTTCTTCGCCTATTCCGCCCAGTGACACACACCCTGCCACACTGAGGCAGCATAGCAGGACTTGGGGGGGCATATATGATGGTTACGGCATGATAGTTCTTTGTTTCTCATCAAAGAAAATTACAATTCTTTGCTCAAAATGAAGCATCATGCAAATACGTAAAACATAATTTAACTGTTTTGACGCTACTACACAAAATATGATATTTCAGATATCACTTCAGAAATTTCTTCTGAATATCTTCTAGCACCCAGATTCAGGTACAAGTTTAATGGATATAACCTAAAAAATATATGAGTATATATATTATATGAATATGAATATATGAATGTTATGATACTTTTCTGCAAGCATTTTGAACAGAAAAGCATGTACACCCTTTTAGGGAATCTACTGCAAATGAATTAATAAATATTTTTGCTGATGCTAAGAAAAAACATTAAATTTGCTGTTGCCACGGTATATTTTTTCCATAATAACAGATTATGGTCTTGATGTTGCTCATACAAGTCTCATCAGCATAAGCCACATTAACAGCAATCCTAAAAAAGGGTGGCATAAATGGTGTGCTTTGAATAAAGAATAACCCAAGAGCCAAGAGCAAAGTATATACTTTGTAATTCCTATCAATTAAAGTTAAAAGTAGGGAATTGCAGTGCTTATAATTCAAAATGCAGTATAATTTTACGAGGTACACCATGTTAAATATTTCTTCCTTTGAGTTGATTGGTAGAAATGCTTTAGACACTGTAAGTAATTTAATACAGTCAAAAAACGTTAATCCGGACTCATCGGGACTTCGGCGATTCCGGATTATCGATTTTTCCGGATTATAGATCATCAGTAAAAATCTGGTAAAATGGCATGCAGAAATTATAAAATTAAAATTATGAAACCGTAATTTACGAAATAAAGAACAATTATGATCTAAAGGGTATCAAAATTTACAAAAAAAAAAAAAAGCTTAATATTTATTTGTTTACTTTATTAAACATTTCTTTCAATGTAAGTTGTTTAAGTTGCTTCGTTTTATGTGATAATACTTTCTCTTTAATTCTATAAACAGACATAATTTTTTGTTCAGTTACAAAGTTCCGCTGTTCAAGTCCTATAATTGCTGTGTCGAGAATACCGACTAATTTGTCAATCGAAATTTTTTCGTTTTCAATAACCTCTGTTACTTTCTTCGCTATCGGAAGTGAATTATAATGACGAGGCATTTGATTTAAATCATATCAAAGACGGAGTACATCGAGATGAAATACTACATTTAGTAAGCAATTATAAACCAAATAAAATAAAAACATCTGCCCTGAAGATAAGGATAGTGCTCACAGATCAACTTCCAATTCATTGCGTGCCACAGCGTTAAAGATAAACAAAGAATATGCCTTTATCCATTTTTTGCAGCAATTCCACTTTTTGTTTAATGGACTCCGAAACATACTTTCGCTTTGTAGATCCTTTACATATTAGTAAATATATATCGGAAATTCTATTTGACATAATCGAAAGTTCAAGCTTACTTTTATAAAATTGCTCTCATAGTCTGCAAAAAATAATAAGCCGGATCCAATTCGAAGATTAAGGAACAACGCAATCTGCAGCATTAACTGAAATAGATAATTAGATAATTTTAGCTTAGCCTATACCGTCCGTTATACATTAAACGCACATTCGTAAACGTATTTCGCGCACGCGCACTTGCAAATTCGCAGCTGTAAAGGTCTTACTTTCTGATCAATACGACGCATGCGCAGAACGCAGAAAGTTTGTAGCTTTGAGGTCCGGATTATGGGTGTCCGAATTAACGACTTTTGACTGTGCTCAAATTACTTCATCACACATGCCAATAAATGGTATGCCAACATTCTCAATGAGAAAAGAAAAATCCATAAAATATCTGCTTTTTAAGTTCTTTTGAAAAGTTATGAAATCTGATAATTATCTGTAATAAAGGAAGGGAAATTAATGTAAGTACTATTCCAATTATCTGTGCTCATTCATCCTCACAGAATGTTTGACAATAAAAAATACATAAAAATAGACTTGAATGTGTAAACTGAAAGATTTTCTCTTCCATGAAAACTTTGCTTTAGCATGTTTATAAAAAAAAAAAAAATTAAAAATTTAATGTGGGGGAAAAACATAACCAATTGTAAAAAGGAATCACAAACATATGAATGATCAAATACAAAGCACAGGAATATAATGTTAACAGTAATAAATAAATACGAAATTTTTTTTAAATACCTTGTGTGGACAGGCTATTGTCCTAGACAGGTCATCAGACAATTTACGAGGTTTCATTCTAGGTAAAAGAAAATATTAATGCTGCATAAATGCAAGTTCTATGACAAGAAAAAGCTTAATATAAAGTGAAAACTAACTTTGCAAATTCTGCTAGTTGTTTGGGATCACTTAAATCCACGCCTGGAAGGCCACCAGCAGGAATTTTTTTCCCTGTCATATACTCAGTAAAATCTGGATCAGGTTCAGGTGTGGTTGCTTCATCTTAAAAAAAAAAAAAAAAAAAAAAAAAAAAAAAGTCAAATAATAGACACTGATATTAAACTCTGAATATGTCTTACTATCAGAAGCTCGGAACTTTTTTGGTTTCAATAAGAAAAGACTAAATGAGTTACATAATTTATTCTGTGCATTAGGCTCTAATTTGATATGCTTCAATCCATCTGTATTATCCCATTCAATGGCATGTATTCCTATGTCAATAAATTTAACTGAAAGTAATATATATAAAAATGACAAAATATGATACAATTATAGTTCATCATGACATAAAAAAATTACACTGGTGTACACATTAAAAGAATTTTAAAAAGTTGATGAAACAGATACATTTAAATTATTAGTTATAGATGTTACTTAGTAATAAAAAATGTTACAAAAACTTTTCTCTGAAATACATACATATGGCAAGACAAAAATACCACACTCTCATTACGTATACTTATTTTTGTTAACATGTCATGCCTCTATGACAAAAACTGTCAATTAAAATTTTATTTCCTATCACACGCACATGGAATTTAAAAAACAGACCGTCTATCAAAAAAATTGATAAATAAATGAAATACACACTCATGTCCATAAATTAAGGATGATGCAAAATCAGGCAAAGGAAGAGTTAGAAGCAAAACAAATCTGACTTATTTGTAAAGCTTATTTATTAAACAAAAGGTAAAGAGCAAAAAAAAAAGATGCTATATGTTTGATATTATTAAAAAAATTAGCGATTTTTTCTCCCTGGAACAAATTACAAAAAAAAAAAAAAAAAAAAAAAAACATATTTACAAAAAACCAATATTACATGGTTGGTATGATTGTTAATACATTGTATGTCTCTCAGACGATGCAATACAATCCGCACAACGCCTAGGCATGCTGAGTATCTAATTATCGATCTGATATTGGAGGGATATTACACCACTCAAAAAACAATGCTCTCCGAAGTTCTGGTAGACATGTAGGAGGAGGTTGACGGGCTGCAACTCGTCGGCCAAGCATGTCCCACACATGCTCTACTGGATTCAAGTCCGGTGAGAATGCTGGCCAGTCGGTACGGGTGATATCCTCCGATTGAAGGCATTCGCTTACGATGTTTGCACGATGATGACGGGCGTTGTCATCCATAAACACAAATTGTGCGCCCATGGCGCCCCGAAACAAACATACATGTTGTTCCAGAACGACGTCCCGATAGATTTGGCTTGTCATGATTCCAATTTGAACATGCATTTCAGTTCTGGAACCCAGAAGAATTCCACCCCAAACGAGCACTCCTGCACAACCGTAACGGTGTCTTTCAATGATGTTTTCTTGGTGGTAACGGGTACCTGGAGCTCTCCATATGAAAGTCCGGCGAGAATCAGACTGCAAGCTAAACCTGGACTCATCGGAAACATCACACAAGCCCTTGTGTTGCGGTGTCCACAATGCATGCTCTCTACTCCAGGCTAACCGCAGGCGACAGTAAGTTGCAGTAAGTGGAACGCATCTGACAGGTCTACGAGCATATAGACCAATCTGCCCAAAGCGTCTGTACACGGTCTGCCTTGAAATTGTCATACCAGTGGCTGAAGAAAGCTGACGAGACGGGTCTGAGGCTGTGCTCCGCCTGTTTCTTTTGGCAGTAACTGCCAAATACCGGTCCTCATTCGGAATTGCAACTCTGGGGCAACCTGTGCTGTAACGTCTACTCACATTACCATCATCTTGGAATCGTTGCCAAAGACTGGAGATGACACTCGGAACAATTCCAAGTTCGTCTGATACTTCCAGTTGGATACGTCCACATTCCAGGCGGCTGATAATTCTACCATGTAAAAAATCATCCAAATGCGTCTTTTGTGTCATAACTATTTGGTTATTGCACTGAAATGCTTATAAAGCATCTGCGAACAATTTTACTTCTTTGCTTGTATTCCTTATATATCACTCTCTTACATTCTCGTCATTGTGACATACCATCGGTGTCATCTGGTTACTTCCTGAAATTCGCATATGTTTCTTGAAAATGTGTGTAGTGATTTTACAGGTGATATATTTATTTTAGAGTTCGATTTCCGCGTGACTCCGAATTATCCTTAATTTATGGACATCAGTGTAGTACAAAGTTAATATTTGGATGTCCAATAACTGAAATGATCTGTTATCCAATCATCCTACAGGACTTTTTTCTCACACAGTGTAAGAATGGATAATATGACATTTAAGGAAAATGTTGATATAAATCAATTTTTGTTCTGATCAGCATTTTGTTTTGGAGGGGGAGGAGGTGAAACTATCTTGTGCAATAACGTTAAATCATCCTACTCACACTCTTATTTTCAGCTATTGAAAGGTTATAGTGAGCAGAAGTTATCTATCTTATTTCATCTTATCTGAAATGACGATGCCACTCAAAAGCTTGCATTCTCGATAACGTTTCACTTCCGTAAACATGCTTCAACATTTGGAAAGTCTCCATAGCTCTCTTTCCCAAGTGAACACAAAATTTGATATTGATTCTCTGCTCAGCTGATGCCGTTTCTTTCTATCGCTAGTTACTAAATGCACCTGCCTACAAAAAACGTTGTCACAAAAAGTAACATAGTAACACAAAAACGTTCTCACAGTCACACTGCTGCAAAAAATTTTTACATTATAGACTCAGTCCAGGAACTTTGAAATCCTACAATATATTGAGCTTTTTTTTTTTTTTTTTCTCTTGTATATTTAGGTTTTCTTAAGATCGTAAATGCTTGAAGATTTCACAACTTTCCATATTTTTAATTTTATAATTTCTATATATAATCTTATCAGATTTAAACTCATGATCTAAAATCCAAAACTGCTTAAGTTCTGATGATTCTGAATGTCAGACTTTTTTTTTAAAGGAACAGGACAAAGACTCCATACAACCAGACTGAACCGATAAGAATGACAAAATTGATACAGAGATTCTTCAGATTCCAAAATTTACTTAAATACGCATCTTCGCTAATTTGGAAAAAAAAAAAAAAAAAAGGACTACATAGGTGTCATTTAAAACTTTAAAACAATATTTCTACTACTGAGGCAAATTTCAAAAATGTATAACGTAACATCAGCAATGAACATTAACTACAGATTTGTTACCTGAAAGAGATATACAAGTGTTCCTGCTCTAATTTAACCATTCCAGTAATAAACCTTCATTCGTTAAAATGGCATAAAGAGAAGAATGAGTTACTCTTCCTTTATATGGAAATTCAGACTTCAAAACAAGCACAAAAAAAAAACTTTCTAATCATATTAAATAATGCATAAAATTTAAAACACCACCAAAATCAATGAAAGTAAATATGATCAATAAATACGAAATCAGGGGGAAAACAAATAATGTATATATAGCACAGTTTTCCTTTTCTAAATTCAACAGACAACATGCAGATCTCAAGGCAGGTGGTTAAGCAGCGGGAGATGTGAGAGATTAGGGAATAGAAGAGAATCTTGTCTGTATATGTACTCTCACAACAAACCTCAACTTTTGACTCTGGTGTAGGCAGATAATGTCACCTGACTATGAGCAAGGATCAAAATTCTACTGCATTCAACACTTTTACAGACACTTAATATTTTTTTTTAATCATAATCCCGTATTAGCAATCAAAAGATCCCATAGAACCGTATCCTGCTCATATATCAAGTCTTTTTTTTTTTTTTAAATTAGAAAAAAAAAAGTCATGGAGAGTTTTTTCCCCCCACACATTTCAGTTTTTAATAAAAGTAAAAAATCTTTGGATTTATTTCAACAGTTAAAAAAAAGACACTAAGTTATCTAGTAAAGGTGAAATTTAGTAAAGTAACAACAAAGGGTATCTATAGCTTAAAAACTCTTCAAACCTGCTTACAAGCAGAAATCAGTGATCAGAAAATCATGAAATTTTGTGGTGGACTTACAGGATAAGAACGTCTTTCAGAGAAAAAACAATTAATTACAAATAGCGTCACCAGAGTGTGGTTTACTTTAAAAACCAGAAACAAAAATTTAAATCTTTGTCGTCTATGTCATGCAGCAGCTGTTATAAAACCTAGAAACATTCGTGGAGACTGTTTTCAATGTGCTTATTGCTCACAGTGACGATAAGTTTACGAGATCGCGCTTTGTTAATAAAATTGTTTTACCAAAACAGCTGCCATTTTCGCAATGTGCGGCCTTCCTAATCCCCAGGCCTCAATCTATGCGATTTTGGGCTTTGGAGAACATTTGAAATATCTGGTAAGTTGTGACAATCCAAAAACTTTTCCTAATCATAAAGCCAGTTTTTCACGGCACATGCTGAACATTTCCCAGTGCAAACTTCGGTTAACTGTGGAACATGCCATCTTGTGGTTTCAGATGGTAAGTGAAAATGGTTGCCATCATGTGGAACATACTTTTTTGGAACAAAATTTGTAAAACTGTGAAACTATTATAAAGATGTTGCTAAATGTATAATTTATTAATATAATGCCTTGTTGTGATGTTATTTGTAACTTTTTTTTTTTTTTTGCTAAAAGACATTCTTATCCCTTCATTAAGTCCACCATAAAATTTCACAATTTACTGATCAGTGGATTCTTTGTGGGCAGCTTTAAAATACAGTTCTTTAATTATGGACATACTGTATTTGTATATACTGTTAGGATACTAATTTACTTATACTGCTTGTGACATCTCCTAGGGTTATTTACTTTCATCTGGTGATATTCTTGTTGTAATCATTAAAAGATCTTGTGGGACATAACAAATGAATCATAAATGAAAAATCAGCTAAAATAAGTTTGGATCTGAATATGTTAAATTAGAAACTGGTCATGTGTGCAGTACATCTGGAAAAACAACAATTAAAACAAATTTAAAAGGAAATATGAGAAACTAGACAGCTAAAAATAACGACACAAATGTTTTAGGAGCAGAAAATATGCAGAAACAAACAGCAACAAAAAAGGTATTCTGCATATCTTTAATGAAACAAATCAGCTTCTCCCAGTTAATGAAAATTAAAAACAAAGGAAAAAAA